ACCGTCACATTATAACGCCCCCCCCACGGCTGAAAGGGCGAGCATGTTTGGTGTGAAGGGGATTCGAACCCGTGACCCGCAGATTGCGAGTCGAGTGCCATAAGCACCTGGTCAACATTATGGAAGTAACATAAAATGCTAATATTGTTGGTTTATGATAAAACTACTAGGACTATTAGCCAACATCCCAAAGTTTGAACTGTTGACCATAAAGAAGGCTACCAACTGGTAATACCCACAGCCAACTCCTCAGTTAATCTTAACTAATGATTAATTGGATTCAACATTATATAACATCCTCATAGCTAAAAAGGCAAGCATATTTGATGCTTGGTTTTGATTCTATAACTCATAGATTGTGAGTTTAGCACTCAAACCACTAGGCCTAAAAATGATAATTAACTAAGTGTCATTGAATTTTTAACCAATAACATTATCTAACTTTACTATGAACTGGTATCTTAGAAGCTTAATATGTTTTCTACTTCTTAACACTATAGTTACAGAAACGTGGAAATTAATAGTTTGTAAATCAAAACTTATTCACATTGTTTAGCTTCCCGTCTTAAAGAAAGTTGCAAATTTTTAAATTATTCATATCAAACCTTCAGAAATTAATGTTTCTGTACATGACTATGTACTAAAGTAAAATCAAACCTTCAGAAATGAATGTTTCTGTACATGATTACGCACTAAAGTAAAATCAAACCTTCAGAAATTAATGTTTCTGTACATGACTAGGTACTAAAGTAAAATCAAACCTTCAGAAATTAATGTTTCTGTACATGACTAGGTACTAAAGTAAAATCAAACCTTCAGAAATTAATGTTTCTGTACATGACTACATACTAAAGTGAAATCAAACCTTCAGAAATTAATGTTTCTGTACATGACTACGTACTAAAAGTAATTTCTGAAGGTTTGATTTCGTAGTCATGTACAGAAACATTTACTAAAGTAAAAGTGCAAAGTCCTCTTCCGTACTTGCACTTATTTACCTTGTTTTTATGTAAAGCTTCTAATTTTTTGATATTTCCAGACTGTTTTACTTGCAAAACTTTACATATAAGTTTAAATCTTCTCAAATATATCACTCATAATTATTCAGTATTATTTGTCATGTAAAAACTAAGTTGCTATTTTCTAACATACATGATTGTATTTGTTCAACGTGTTAGGAGAACAGACAGGTTCAAAAAAATCAATTAAAAACAAAACTAAGAAACCCTATAACCTGAGTATTTTTGAGAGGTTGATCTTTCTTCATCGGTGACAAACTGAGAAGGCTTCCCCAGTGAAGAAAGGTATATTTTTAGTACGTTTGTATATTACATGGATATATTGTTCAGTTACTTGCTTCCTGTGAGATTTCACAATCCTGTATAGTTGTCTACATTCAACTCGGTTGATAGGGTATTAACCTCAGAGCACTGCTGGCAACTCAGCTGATACAGTATTACCCTCAGAGCATTACTGGTATTTCAGTTGATAGAGTAATAACCTCAGAGCATTGCTGGAAACTCAACTGATACAGTATTAACCTCAGAGCACTGCTGGCAACTCAGCTGATACAGTATTACCCTCAGAGCATTACTGTTAATTCAGTTGATAGAGTATTAACCTCAGAGCATTGCTGGAAACTCAACTGATAGACTATTAACCTCAGAGCATTACTGGTAATTCAGTTGATAGAGTAATAACTGATGCAAACCAAGAGTTGCAGTTTAAAATCTTAAACAGTTCTCTGAGGTTAATGCTTTATCAACTAATAAGAATTTCAAGCATAAGCAGGTTTGATTCCATCATTCTGAAAATCAAATAATGAATGTTTCATCAAAATGATCACACGATTAGCGTTTAGGATTTTTTTTATTATTACTTATACCATATCTACATTTTTTTCACATTTTTTTCTAGGAGCTTCTGGATCCTATTAGCTCATTCAAGGATGTCATCAAACCTACCTTTTATAGGAAGGTTGTAGATGAAATCCTAATTGCTTTTCATAAACAACTTCAATTCTTCAAAATCAAATGCCTGATCCTTGAAAGTTTTTACTACATTTACAAAACAATGGTATCCTTATATGGCTATTAACTATTAAAATTTCTTAATTTCAAAATCTAATGTCCGACAAAGAATTTTGACAAAAAATCTGTTGGTTTTTCCTCGACAGTTTCCTTGAAATAGTTCATTACATGCCCTTTTTGTTTCCACATCTTCAATGTTTCAACCAGCTCCATTTGGCCCTAAAAACAAAAACAGTTACAATATTAGTCCCATATTATAATATCTTAATATTCTAGAATACACTCTTCAATGGAAATTGTTTTAAGTAAAAAGGACCCACGAATTATGTTAAGCATTTTTTTTTTATGTTATACTTTTATTGGACTAATAATTTTCCGTTTTGATTTTATTAACAACTTTCATACACAACTGGTAAAATTGACTAAACTCGAAAAAAAAGAGTAGCATACACATTTAACACCTCAGCTTATCAATTTATACAGTATTGAAATGTACATCTGTCACACTCTGTATCTCTTGAACAGTTGATTGTAGGAAAAATATATATATATATCTATATTCAAAATGCTTTATTTTCAAGAGTATATTACAGGAAAATTCATTTTTTGCAATTCCTAAAATTTCATGTCGATATCAACATCCATTAGTCTTCAAATGTGCTGAATGGTCAATCTGAGAAAACTTATTAAGAGCAAAAGTGTTTCTTTTTGTGAGGGAATTTCATGGCATACACACTCTGATCCAAGGGATTGGGTTAACTGCACATCTTATATTTACTCATCACTATGTAAAAAAAAATTACCATTGAATTGTTTCAATGGGCATCTACTAGTATGAAACATAAGGGTTTGGGAGCGAGTAGGAGGCATCATAAGTGGAAAATACAAGCATAATATACACAGACTAATGTACAAGTTCATTATGCTTTTTTCTTCATGATTTCAGAAAACAGTGCAAGGTGCTGGAATCTATTTTCGTAAATAATTAAAAAAAGCATCTTACAAGTTGGTACTTAATAAAAGATAATTACCATAAGTTTAGAAGAAGTTTTCTGGCCTTAATAAAAGATAATTACCATGAGTTTAGAAGAAGTTTTTTGGCCTTAATAAAAGATAACTACCATGAGTTTAGAAGAAGTTTCCTGGCTTTAATAAAAGATAATTACCATGAGTTTAGAAAAAGTTTCCTGGCCTTAATAAAAGATAATTACCATGAGTTTACAAGAAGTTTTCTGGCCTTAATAAAAGATAATTACCATGAGTTTAGAAAAAGTTTTCTGGCCTTAATAAAAGATAATTAGTAAGATATATTCTTATGCAGTTGGTGAAAACATATTAAACAATGGAAAAAAAAACTAACTCGGCAGTAGGCAGCTGGTGATTAACAGATATTTTTTTCATGTTCATGTGTTTTGGGACCTTTTCCTTGTTACGACAATGAAATGATTAGCGAATAAGGCAGCAATGTTTCTGAATTTACCAATTATAGTAAAACAAAGGTACATGTAAAGGTTAGTTTACTATGGAAGACGTTTCTTTGTGTAAGAAGACTAGGATATTTTTTTATACATAGACAATAATGAAAAGTGTAGTGAGGCACTTAAAAGGGTGTGAAAATTTCGAAAGAACAACGATGTTGATGTGGATAAAAAATAGGATGTGGGTGTGATGTTTTAATAAATATATAAAGTTTTTGGTTCAGTGTATGTAAAGAAAAAAAAAGTAGATTTCGGGGGCTTTATTCATCTTACAAATTTGGTATTTTTATCCATTGATAATTTAATCCCCCTTATTTAACTCTGGGTTTCTGGTCAGAACACAAACTTTTGTAAGGAATACAATTTGTTCTCTGCTAGCTTGAGAAAACTTACAAAATCTTCTGAACTTCTTTTAATACTTTTTCCCACTTATATTAGTCACTAATTTGTTTCTTTCTCAAAATAACTTCTAGTTTTTGGAAGTGAGACTTTCTGAAATTTGAGACACAGTTCTTATTATTAACTCTGCAACAGGTTTCGACGCAAAAGCACTCTTGAGCGACGACAGCTTTAACTATTCCTCTAGTATACATTTCATATAAACAAGCTCCATCAAGTCACCTTTTGAAAAGTACATATGAATGTACTATTTTCAAACATATACAACACTTCATGCATAAGTATAACTCATAATAAATTCCATAGTTCATCACTATTATATTATTTATGTTTTACAATTTAATGAACCAGTTTTTTATTTATTTCTTGCTACTTTATTTATATAAACAAAAACATTAGTTTTTTTTTCTTTACTCTTCTTATTCCTTCACTACCAACTCTGTAGCTAAGCATTATGACAGCAGAAGACGCACATATATATATATATATGTTTAACTAATTAAACTTATACAGATGGGGGTCAAGAAATCAATTTTTGCTGGTCACTTGCTACCATTTGAGAGGATTGCATATTTATGTAGATAAAGATATGTAGATAGAAGGAAATCAACGATAAATTATCAGTCTAATTCATATATAGAATGCTCATATTCTTTTGATTTTTAGCCTGTTTTTATATATGTTCTTAAATAATTTTTGTTGTTGGATGTGCACTACGGCAAACACGTAAATACTCCTACGACTTTCCAGAATTCCTGTACTTGTAAACTGGGTGGATCGTAGGAGAAGGCAACGGTTTTTTTTTTAAGTAATCATATACATTATTTTCCTTTAGTATTGATGAAACTTTATTAATGGTTATAAAATGTTAAAAATAATTTTAATATGATTATTATTTATTACAAATTTTTACAATTATGAAACTTATTTTGCATTGCTTGCTTAGCATGAGGATTTAGGGTTGACCTTAATCTTCTAAGTTGGTCAATCTTTGTAAGATATAACTTGAATAATGACACAAAGTATCATTACTTAAAGGGTTACCCAAATGAGGATTAAATGTATCCTCATCATTATAGCTTTTAGTGTTAGTATGCAGTGATTATTATTTATTATACAGATTTAGCTTCATTAATTTACAAGCTAATGTTTGTATATTTTTTTCTATCAGAAATTATTAATAGCCCAAATTAATGAAAAATAAAGATGAACTAAGCAACAAATATGGTAACTTTGGTTAGGGTAAGGCTTAATTTAAACTTAGGTTTAACTTAGCTATTACAAACTACTTTCATCTTTGAAAAACAAAGACATGAAACTTACAAAAAAGTAATTAAAATAAACCAAAATAAATTTATGAAGCCATATTACGGAACTTGTTAATTCCCACAATACCTTTTTGTTTTCATGTTCTTATTTCATTTCTCAAGCCTTACAATAAACTTCATTATTTCTAAACAGTGGCATTATGGATATGATAAGCTATAAATTTATTCCAACAATTGTTAAACTGTATACCTACTTTAATTACGAGCATATCAATTGTTCTAATGTCCGCCACGTTTTTGTTTTTCAAAACGAGTTCTCGTAGCTTCTCTCTTCCTTGCTTAGCATTGATCGGGATCTCAAATTCGTATACTGAAAGTAAAACAAACATGTTGTTAAATACACAAAAAAAATATCACTTGGACTTAAATGTGCAAAACAAAAGATTTAAATTAACTGAAAAACATACATATAGCAGTATTTTCAAAAACTTTTTACACGAATTACACACACAATTGTTATAATTCAGTACATATTTAAAGTCCGTAGTTTTTCTAATTTACTCAAATAGTATTCTACCTACCCACGCTTTAAAATAATCTTAAGGCTCATCGGTATGCATCATACCAGCTGCGTAGCTCTTAATATCTATTCATTCCCCAGTGGACTAAAACCTTAATTTGGTGTGTGGGGGCTGAAGAGGAACAACTGTTTCTTGGTGCCCCTGGTTGTTTGATTTAAAACCTTAATTACTGCCAAGTTGAGATATTTTCTTCTGTTTTAATAGGTGTTTTTTCATGTTTATTTACAAATCAACTAGATACAATATGTGTGCTGATCCAGTTCACACTTTACTTTCCAGACATCCACAAAATGAAAACCTCACAAGCACGAGATAGATGTTGAATGTTTTCAATACGTATTAAATAGTTGATACATAACGTTTCTTCATTTAAAGCCAAAGGCACACCACAACATCAACCACATATCTAAGGTGTACTTGACGAGAGGTCTAGTAATACTATTTCTAGTCAATTCCCCAACTAGTAAGCACTACTGGATCCCGTCGAGTTCATATCTTACTTTCAGACTACGTTACTGATCATGAGATGTTTATATATCCAACTTTACTAAAGAAATAGATAAATTTTACTGAAATCATTACTTATTTATACATTAATTAACTGTATTAATAGTTGAAATATAAAGAGCATAGTCTTACAAATCATTTCAGTTTAAATAACACATAATTAGAACTGAGCAATTAGGGGATATTTGCTAATTGATTAATTAATACCCCCATTAACTATGTTTGATTAATCAATTACGACATACAAGCCAAAAAAAAGAAAAACATTGGCACTATTTAGCAGTTCAAACTGAAACAAAAAATTGGTGGCAGTTGCTGCCAGTTGTTTTCCCTCTATACAGCTGTTAAAATTAGTGACAGTAGCACATGGTCTTAATAGCTTTATTATAACAAATACAAGGCAAGCAATTTTGGTGGCAATGGAAATCAAACTCGAGACCCTTGAATCATGAGGCCCCCTCCCCAAATCACCAGAGCTAAACAAACTTCAAGTTAACAGAACAAAACAACTTACAAGCTAAAATTGGGCAGAACACAAACACCTCTTTCGGTAGCTTCGCATTCAACAATAAAGAAACATAATAGCAATATTTGGATTACTTGGACAGTTGGAATAATTGAAAATAGTAACAAGTGGAAACCCTAATTCTGATTAGTTGATTATTTTCGTGACAATCAATTTCATTGTAATTTTGATTAACTGACTGTTGGAATAATAAAGAACAATAAGAATCGGAAACATTAATCAATTTAATCATAACTTTGGTTACTCGATTAAGATTCGTGTTTTTTTTTCACATCACAAAACTTAACGGTGTTTTTCTTACAAAACAATACATGTTGTGTTACATTACTGAAAAGTTGAAGACTACAGATGTATGTGCAGCCTCAGTGATATAAGTGGATTTACATGTATGTACAGTTGTATAGAAAACCCATATACACAACATATATTCACAACACAAATTCAGTGAAACATCACGCATTTTTATATTTCATGAGATCTCTCGTCATATCCTCATCATTATCTTACATTAGTCCTCAACTTTTTTCTCGTGATTTGAATATCGTATGTTGAGTTAGGCAATTTAATTGATATAATCAGTTACCAATGAGCAGCAATTACATTGATCAGTGTTGTAAAATTTTGTTTCTCATGAATTAAGTGTTACATATTCAACTGTCACACACACCATAGAGAAAAGATAAATTTTACTCGAACCATTATTTATTTATCTAGAAATTAATTATATTAATAATTATTTGATACATAAATAACATTGTTTTACATATAATTTCTGTATAAATAACAATACATATCTTCTGCAAGAAATCACATGGGCCGCTACTTTTTTGTCGGTGCATAGCTAAACATAAATAAGACGCCCATGTGATTTCTTGTAGCAGATATGCATACTCTACAAATTTTGAATGCTTAGTTACACTAGTTTGCCTAAAAATTTTATCATCAATATTTTCTCATTTTGGCCACAGCAACAAGCCAATATACTTTCTTAGATAAAGACACTAAAACTGTGTGCAATATTCTAACTGAGGTTTAACTAGTGATTTGTATAAAGAGATCTACAAATAACATAGCTGTAAAAAAAAAAAAAGGTGTGGACAAAAAGAAAGCAAGTGAAAGATATGAACTCAAAGGTATTGAAGAAACCCACGTGCAATTATAATAGCTGTTTGATGCTAGTTATTCCAAACTATATCTGAGTATCAAATTTATAGCCTTTGTGGTTATTTGTACCTAGTGTACAACAAAAGAAAGTTATGGCCAAAAAAAAAAGAATTGTGACAGAAAGATGAGAAATCAAAATTAAGATGCCACCCTCCACTAGTATTGATGGTAATTCATCCTATAACCCAATCAACCTGTTAGAAAACTGAAACTGTTTTAACTGGAACATCATCTGTCTTCTAAATCTTAAACATGTGCCCTTTCATCCTACTGTTTTAAGAAATCAGACCTTTATTGTATCAATTTCTCAAATACTTTGAAAACACGAATAAAATCACCTGTTACCCTTCTTTTGTAAACTTCAATACCATCAACCCTTACCCTTCTTTTGTAAACTTCAATACCATCAGCCCTTACCCTTCTTTTGTAAACTTCAATACCATCAACCCTTATCTTTTTTCAATAGGTAGAGAGAGAGAGGATTAAATGATTTCCTGAAAATTAAAGGTTGAGTTAAATTTTTAATTTTTGGGGGTGGGTAATCAGAAACAGGCCTATCTGCCCACATTATATATTTGATATACTTGTAGCATTCTACAACTCATGTAGAATAAGGCTAAAAGGATGACACTTGGCTCTAGAAACTTCCATTAAAAAAGAAAAGCTTAAAGACCTCCACTTGCTTTCATTAAAGACTCTTTGATGATACAGTAATTCCATCATTTATGTAAAAAATTTATTCACCTATCAAAAGTGAAGAAAATACAGAAAATGTTTATAAATAATGGTGGCTTAGGAGTTTTTGTCAGTGCGTAGAATAACTGATAAAAATATTCTAAGTTAATTGCATTATTATCTTACTAACCAGAAAGCCAACTAAATACTGTTTTGAAAGAAACAATTTTTTCAAGTTATATATATATACTACACTCAACTGTGTTCATTGCCTGTAGTGATAGATAAGTTTAAAAAAAAAGTATAGACATTTTCCATGTAAAGCATGTTTATCATACTCATGTTGACTCCTTTTTCTAACTTGGTTGGGACATCTCATGTCTGAAAATGTAATTATGCATATAATGCACGATTTCCATAGCATTAATCATATAGTAAAAACCAAGGTGACATAAATCCATTTAGTTCATTAATGTTGTTCTTTAACCCACTAATATAACCAACAAAAGTATTAAAACCACACTGTAATCATTTATCAAATATAAAATGTACACATCTTACAAACAAGTTTATAACTCTCAAAAAACAAACCTGGGATCTAGGCTTTCAAAACTAGAATAGTCACTTTAGTTTACAGATATCTTTCCTCAATATTTTAAAATAAGGCTTAACCCAGATCTTATAAACATTTTTATTGAGCAGAAAGTTTTGTAAGTAGATCCCAATCCATTAGTCTTCAAGCATTTGTTTTTAACAATCACACCCAAATCTTTGGTTTTGAACATCATTTCTCTTTTCTAAAAAGAATCCAGCTTTTTAAATAACTTTATCTGGATGCAGCATGATATCAGTTTTCTTAAGATACACCACACTGGGACATCTTCATTCAAAGTAGTGATGCCTAATTTAAAAAAAAAAAAACTTCAATAACATTAACAGCAAAAACATCCAGTTCTGACAACCCCTTGCTGATCATTTTCATTTTACAATTACCTGTCATAATAATGTGTTGGCACACAATTATTTATAACTATAATGAAGTGATTTACTTTTAGAGGTCAATTCTACATGTTTCTACAGAACATTGGTCTGCCTACTTCAGGTATTAAGACATTATCATAAATATTTTTAAATCTTAAAAAAATTGAATGAAAAGAAACTTTTTATGTTTCTAAAAATAGATTTTGTCCTTTTTTATGAGTCTATTGGATTTGAATGTTCACACAGTAAACAGTATGCTACAATGGTACTGGTAGACCCAGTGACCTTGTTGAAAGATAATTGTATTTGTAGTTATATTTGTCCTTAGGCTGATGTTTCGAATTTTTGCTTATTTACTTTTGAGTATGAGGTGCGACCTTTTAGGCTTTATCAAATTATGGGTCAAATAACCTGCTACTAGCAGTGCTAATGCTTCCAAAATAGCATGAGTATTACTATTACTGTTATTCATTATTACATTATCAGCTTCCTCGTTCTGAATCATATAAACATTAATTTTCATTATTTACAACCTAATTTAGGCTAAGCTAAAAGTAATAAATGTAACATTACGGGTAAAATTAAACAATACCAAATGTTAACTAGGGTCTACTAATATGATATTAGCAATAATATTGTGATTTCTAATAGTAGTAAAACACAGTACCATTGCTAGTGTTAGTCATAGTACTGTAGTGTTACTGTTAGTACCACTACTAGTACAACAACGTTAATTATAAGTGTAATTTATATTTCGCATTAAACGATAGCATATCATTTTACATACTGATATGAGGTATCTGTCTATACCAAGCTTTATAAAGGTTTAAAACTCTTTTTCTTGCTTCTCCTTTGTCAAGCGATAAAATAGGTTTAACATGCTTTGCAACATGAGCTACTCTTCCAGTTGCGGCCATTTTCATAGAAATAAATTAAGATGGTAACGCTAGATGGCAATAGCTATAAATTAAGCTGGAAATTCAATCGGCATTATATTTGTACTTTGAAAGTAAGATATACTTAGGTCAATGTTTATTAAGTTCATTTCAACAATTATTAAGGCCTAGCTTTGTTTTTTACGTGCCTAGGCTTATGTTTTCAATCAAATCGAATGCTGGATCAATTTTTATTACTATGTGTATGTTTTTCATTGCTGATAAATCATATTTATTGGGTGGTTACTCTAAACATGAAATTTTATGGTGTGAGGTAGTGATTTCTATTTCATGTTTAATTATGGTTATGTATTTTTCCTTCTACAGTTTAGTTCAGCTGTATTTTTATTTGGCTGAAAAACACTACTTATCTGCTTCCTATATAAAATATTAGACGAGTTATTTTTTATTTGCCGTAGTTGAAGTCGAACAAGTTGATACCGTGGTCACTGCTGAGAGAGAAGACAATTGGTTACTATTTTCTATTCTGAGAGTGCCACTGACAACACCATACCATTATCAGGGTTTCATGTTATAAGGATAATTTTATCAACGGAAACCCTTTTGGAACAAGTTGGAGCAGGAAACTCTTCTGGTTGGATGACTGCACCCAGTTTCTTGAAGTTCACAAATAATTTTGTTGTTAATGTCATTTTTCTGTTGATGAAAAAGTGCTCCTGCTATTAGGCGATCATGAGATACGTATATCACTTGAGGGCCTAAATTATGCCAAAACAAAAAAGGATTGTAATGCTGTCGTTTTCGCCACATTGTTCTCATAATCTAAACCGCTTCCACAACTGCCGTCTTTCCTTTAAAGAGCCTCCCCCCCCC